CCATGCGAAGCAGAGAATTGCATCGAATTCTATGCTCAATGGCCCGTTGTCGAAACGTCTCGGAGCCTCGAAATTCCTCAAGCTGGCAATTGTTCGCCGACGCGTCGTCTACGTCATCGCTGAGCGCACCACGCGTCGAATCCGTTAGCCTAGAGGCCACCAGCCACCACAATTCCCTCAGCATGTCAAACCCTAGGCGATGTCAACAGATTGCATGCGCGTTTTCGACATTTCCACCCCCCGGTCGCGGATCATGAGGATTGCAACAGAGTGTCTAGAAACCGAGTCCAATGACGATAATCTGCAGGTCCGAGGTCTGCAGCTCCATGCCCCCTGGTAGGGCTCTTGGGGCAGGCGGGAGACGGCAAGCGTACCGAAACGGAGGACATCCGTACGAGCATGCCAATCAACGCATCGATCGCGCGCATATTGAGCCATGCTCACGAAGAGCTTCGCTTATCGTGAACTTCTGCAAGATGCTGACATGCAGCGAGAATTTTCAACGGCGTGCAACCTTGGGCTTTGTGCCACGGTCGACATCAGCCTCCAGCGACGGTGACATCTTTCCCGACCGCTCATACTTTTCGAAACACGAACAACAGTCAAAATGAGATGTCCGGGGATCTTTTTGGCGCTTGCGCTCCTTCTCGCTGGATCAGGCGCTGAGCCGATACCGCGGGCTGTGAAAGCACCCAGGGTTGATCTGGGCTACGCTGTCTATGAGGGGAGTTATGATTCCAATACCGGCCTTAATATCTTCAAAAGGTAATTTTCAGTCTGAGATCTCCCAAATCCTCCAAGAGCTGACCTTGCGCTGCAGTGTTCGGTATGCAGCGCCACCACTCGGCAACCTCAGGTTCGCCGCTCCTCAAGCCCCTGTGCGAAACAGAACGATAGCATCAGCTTTGAGCGATCCACCAGCTTGTCCGCAGACTGGCGCCTCTTCACAGACCCCAGCGGCTTACGGCTTCACCTCCGCCATTGGAAACGAGGATTGCTTGTTCTTGAACGTATACGCGCCGGCTCACGCGAAGAACCTGCCTGTCTTCTTCTGGGTTCGTGAGTCATTTTCCAAGCAATGCACAAAACGCAGGGGATCTCGCTAACAGTATCAAGATGGTGGAGGTTACGGGCTATTCAGCGCCTCTGGGCTAGACCCCAGCGAATTTATGGCCACCAACAAGAATGGATTCATTAGCGTCATAATTCAGTACCGCCTAGGCGCTTTCGGGTTTCTCTCAAGTCCAGAGGTGAAGCAGCATGGTGCGCTTAACGCTGGGCTGCTTGACATGAACTTCGCATTGAAGTGGGTACAAGCTAACATCGCCAAGTTTGGGGGCGATCCTAGCAAGGTCACTATTGCAGGCGAGAGTGCAGGAGCAGGCGCTGTCCTCTATCAATCTCAAGCCTACGGTGGGCGGCAGAAAGAAGACCTCTTCCGTAATGTTATCACAGCGAGTCCATGGGTACCCTATCAGCACGATTATGACGATGAACAACCCGCAGAAGCCTATGCGGCGTTCCTTGAAGCATCCGGCTGCTCAACAACGAAGGAAAGTATGGATTGCCTCCGCGCAGCGGATACCATCGTTCTCCAGAATGCCAGCGCCAGGGTTTCGGAAGCTGGCCCTTTCGGTACCTTCGCTTTCTTGCCAGTAACAGACGGTACATTTGTTCAGGACCGCCTGTCCACAACCCTTACTTCAAAGCCGCTAAAGGGAAGGCGTGTCTTATCGGGTAACATGGCAAACGAAGGCGTGCCACTTTCGCCTCCTACCGCGCGCACGCTGCAGGATTTCCGAGACTACATTGATCTGACATTTACCGACTTCTCTACATCTGAGAAAGCCCGACTGGAACAAACATACTCATTTCCTGGGGATGACCTCGACGTGAAGCCCAATGCTACGCGCTTTGTTACATCTGGTACTGGTCTACCCACGGCACTCAACATGAGTGAATTTGGGACAGGAAATCAACAACGTCTCTTGAATGTTTTTGCAGAGTACGCCTTCGTCTGTCCCAGCTACTGGGCTGCTGGAGCTTTTACAGAGGGCTGGAAGTATCAGTTTAGTGCGCCTCCAAGTTATCATGGCTATGATCTGCAAGCGCTATGGAGCGGAACTTCAACGCCCGGCAAAAGCTTCAAGCACGCTTTCCGTAGAATTTGGGGCAATTTCATCACAAAGAACTCGCCGGTGATAAGCTTGGAAGACGCGAAGGGTGGTGTCGCAAACTCGACGACCCCGCCTGCGGTTGGGTATGGTTCGAGTGACATTTCTTGGCCAAAGTGGAACGAAAACCAGCCGGTACTACTGAACATGAACGCTACAGGCGGCATCCCTTCTTTCGTGCAAGCGACAGACGACCTTTACTACTACGTTTATAGCGATCCGGGCGTCAGCAACCACATGAGTTTGACCGATGCAAATGCATGGGAGGGTGGAAGGGGCGGGCGATGTGAGTTTTGGAAAGCTATGGCGAGCAAAGTACCATATTGACAGGTGGAGACGTGTATGGGCTTGAATGTCTGAGGAATGATGATCGTGAACTACGCTATATCGCAACTACAATCCCAGTCGCTTGTCCATCGCGGCCAAAGATATACCCAAGATTGACCCGCTTACACACCGTCGTTGAACTCGTAGTCTTTGTCCCATCGCTATGCTGGTCAACAACATGTACATTGATGTCTACATTGTACTTACAGTGTCCCATGGCTTGCTGCCATCGACAAATCTCAGATCAGTACCAACTCTAATCACGTTATTTGGATCGTGATTCAATGTGGATGCGTGTATCTGACTACTGTTAGCCAAGATATACATCAGCTCAAACTCAAGGGTACCTACCGCAAACGGGTTGTGGAGGACTACGTCGCCCGCTTCGTAGTTCGTCACCAACCAACGCCTGTCAAAGGTGTCAGAATACTCTCGTGGACCGTCAGCGAGCAGCCCCGTTGATAGCATGTTCTGGTTGAAAGCGTTCTTCGTTTCTTCGTCGCTCAATCCACTTTCCGCTGCCTTTCGGTTGAAGTCTCCCTCTACCTCACGGCCAAGCGTATGACCTACCAAACTCGTTAATGTTACTCAATCATTCATCGTCGACGAGAAGACTCACCATTTTCCAAATAGATCAAGCCTCCTCCAGTCAAGCTTACGTCGCCCATAGGTACCCAGGCAGTGACACTCGTCGGCTCGCCATGCCGGAGGAAGATCTGATCATAATGTACGCCGATGGCCTTGTTTCCTGGTGTATTGTTGCGCAATAAGCTTCTACGGACACCTAGAGTTTTGTCGCCCCAGTTTGTCATCCGGGCAATGAAATCTTTCAGCGCAGGGTGCTTGCAAAACGCCTCTTTGTACCAATTTGCATAGTGCGCTTCGAGCGCCAGACTAACGAACTTCTCCGCTGTCGCTTCTCCCGGCTTTCCATTTCCAGGAGCCGCACCAGCGCCAATACCAGGGAAGTCTGCCGCGTCCTTCTCGGGATCGAATATGCCATCCACTGGCTGGGTTCCAGGTTTCAACACGCCGCTCGGCGCGAGCGACTTGAAGTACTCTTCGCGGGCTTTGAGGACATCGTTCCTTGGTAGTAACCCCTTGAGGAAGACATATCCATCTTCGTTGTAGCGCCGACGCAGCTCTTCCATGGGCATATCTGGAGACGACTCCTTCAACTTCCCGACTTGACCTGGTCGGAGCAACCCGTCGTTCACGAAAAGTTTCTTGCCATCAAAGCTCGGCACGTCTTGCTCTGGTGATAGTGCATGGGGCATGATGAAGGATGTGACGAGATAGCAATCGGCTTCGAATTGTCTGCACAGGGAGACACGATATCTAGGTGTCCAGCTTGTTGTCAGAATATTCCGGCAACGTAAACGTGGTGTAAACCTATCACCACTGCCATATCTGTACACGACAGACGAGTGTGCCGGGGAGACTTACCTCTTTCGTCCCTGCCAAGATGTGGGGTAGGAAGCGGGGCTAGTCGCCGCTGTGACACGCTATCTGGATTTTCCGAAGCCGCGGACGCGATCGTCAAAGCCCGTCCTTAGTAACCGGCGAAACATGGTTGGGCACGACTCTGCTCATCTCGGCGGGCATTCCTCGTCCTGGACCCCTTTGTGCATCGTTATCGCGCGTGTCCCAGCTTCGTAAATTAGCCCGCACACGGATCCTTCGCGAATCCACGACTACGTCAAGGTTTATCGCAAATGCCATGGTACGAGACTTCGCATCCTTTGCGCATGACCTGGACATCGCTTAACCGTTCGTAGCAATCGATGCCGCACGCGTCATTATCGATGTAAGCTGAAATTCTCAAGCTAGTGATGCATACTGATGACGTTGCGATAGGTGATGGCAAGCAGCCGGCATGTGCAAGGTGTGCGCAGGCGAAGAAGGAATGCGTCTACGAAAGCGGTAGACGGTTCCGGCGGTCGTCAATCTCAGATTCGTTCAGTGTTGAACAACCTTGGGTGTCATACCCTCCGCGAAGTGAGAAATTACCCGAATCTGTTGCATCTGTCGCTGACACGATTTGGCAGTCCAATTCTTGGACGAATCGAGCGAAATTCGCTCTCAATACGTGCAGGATGGCTACTCTCCATTCGACAGCCCTTCAGTTCATGCGCCATCACCCAGCTGTACACCTGGAAGTGCGCCGGGTACTGCTTTGACTCCAAACTCAACCTTGTTCACCCCTACGGAAAACCTCACAGTTCTGTCTTTACTAAACTCAGAATCTCCTGTGCAACATCAAGTACCTGCGCCTCCAGCATTACACGGCCACCGAGCCAACACAAGCACATACCAGCCACATCAGGAAGAGGGAGTTAGTACCTTTGTGTACCAACAGCCTCCTGGCGAGCCTGTGCTATGGCCTTTAGAGCATGAGCAAGAAGCAATGCTTCTGCAGCACTACATCGAGAACGTCGCCTTATTCGTGAGTACCTTTATCCAGAGAAAGGGCCTTTTACTGACGAACATAAGTTCGACATGGTCGACACCAGAGATCACTTTGGGGTTCACATCGTCCAGATGGCCAAGCAGAATAGTACCCTGATGTATGTAGTCTGTCTACTGCGGATATGCGTTGGCAATCGACTGACCACCAATCTCATTCAGGAACGCCATTCTTGCGCTATCTGCTCGTCAGCTTAGTCGCACCACCGATTTCGACCCTTACATTGCAGATGCCTATTATCAGCGATGCTTTGACACGCTGATTCCAGCACTGAACGACAACGTCACGATCAAAGAAGAGCCATTACTTGCTGCAACCGTCATCCTGCGACTCTTGGAAGAGATGAACATCTCAATTATCGGCTCCGATCCGCAAGGCCATCTGTTCGGCACCCAAGCTATAATTCGCGCTGCTGAACAGTCATACGCTGCAACGTCTGGCCCTGATCGGCGGCAGGCTATTTACTGGGCTGCTTTCCGTCAGGAACTGTGGATCTCACTCATGACGCAACGCGCGTTCAAATTACACATCTTTCCCGCTGATCGCTCACTCGAGCCGGCCAATGACTCCATCTGGGCTACACGAACGATTGCTCACCTCGGCGACGTGAGCAACTTCGTCTTTGGAGAAGGTAGAAATAGCATTGCTCGCTACAACCAACTGATGGATGAGAACAGATCCTGGACACAGTGTAGGCCTGACAGCTTCGACCCATACTATTTCCGGCAAGATCGAGATGGTAGCGGAAGAAACTTTCCGGACATTCGCTTCCACCAAAAGACCCACGTTATGGGTACCCAGTATAACCTCTTAGCTCATATGTTGCTGATTGTACATGATCCGGCGATTCCACAACTCGGACCAGCACACAAAGCATCACGCGCTATTGTGGATAGAACCGTGCAAGACAACGTCCGCACACTATGCGGAGTGGCCCAATCGAACTCCAAATGGTTTCCTTGCAAGTTTGTTGCCTGCTTCGCGATCGCATTAGGTAAGTTTGTTTCGATCCCATTACGCGACTATGACGAGACGTAGTCGCGTGTAATATTTGTATTGCTTCTGTATCTAACATACCCAGTCGGCGATCGCTTCACGCTTCGTGAGGATCAAGAACAGCTTCGCGATCTATGGTATGCCTGTGAACGATCGCATGGCTTTCCTCCCACAGCGGCCATTAACCAACTCGAAGAGTCGTGGGGTTGGCACAACTCTTGAAATACATGATGCGGCCATCTCCGACGGCTTCAGCTACCTTAGCACGCCTTTGGACTCATCATAAGCCCTAGTTGAATGCATTCATGCGCCTCGGGTCGAAATTACCGGGCATATAAGGCCCAAATCCCGTTCCGGAGTTGAACTGGTCCAGCTCATCTTCATCGAATCCCGCTCCGTAGAATGGCATTGGGTTGCCATGGTCACCTGCATGTCCGGGAAGAGCCGGGCCCTCCCACTTCGTGAAATGATGCTTTGGTCTGCGATGTCCCGCTGGCGGCTTCCCTTTGTCGTGCTCTTCGGCTAGATCGTAGACTCTATGCAGTCGTTTGTCGACAGGAAGCCGTTCCCTTATTCTCGCATATTCAGCCTTGATGTTCAACAGCAGGGGATATATGCGCACCCGCTCTACAAAGTCTTTCTCTAGAGCTTTCTTCAATATGCTACTGAGTTCTCTGGTATAGCTGGAGCCTGCCGGTTGTTCTTTGTCCCATCTTTGACCATGGGGGAACTCTTTGCTTCGCGGGCTTACGATTCCGGTACATGCGCAGACCATACTCAAGCCTAGTTGCCAGACATCTGAAGCGCCGCTGAAGAGTGGAAATTCTGGAGCGTCGAACCCAGGCGTCCCCCCTGGTTCCATTATAGCGCGTTCTATACTACGCTCAAGCGACAGATAGTCTTCAGTTACTGCCAATCCAAAGTCGGCAAGCTTCGCTATAACTGTATCACCTTCCATCGTCAGTAGGATGTTCGCAGGCTTGATGTCGCGATGATATATTTTACTCCAACCGGACTGGAATATCTCGTCATCGGTCATATTTGGCTGCGGGCCACGGTGACAGTACGTAAGGGCAGAAGACAGTTCAAAGAACCATCTCCATATCTTATGTTCGTTGACGTGGGCGCCCATAGCAACATTGAGCGCGACGTCTGCCAGGTTACCTACTGTACAATACTCCAGATACACAGCTCCGTCTGGTTTGCGCTTATCGAAAAATTGGTCCACCATCTTAGTAATATTCTCGTGGTCCTGAACCTGGTGCAAAATCTGGATTTCTTTGCGCGGTACATCGTTCTCGAACGCGTCTTTACTGAAGCGCTTCTCAATGAATTCCATACCCCGAGCTTTTGGATTACTACATTGGACTTTGCTTATGCCGCCGTTCAGACCTCCGCCCATGCTACCGAGCTTCTGGATTACTGTCCATTTTTCTCTCGGTTTTGGTTGATAGGTTACGGATAGCTTCTTGCAAATTTTGGGCATCGCAGTCCCAGGATAGCGCCGTTAGTGTTGAATATTTAGGAGTGTGGTTAACGTTGTGGAAGATGGCAAAATGAAGGTTCAACGGACTCATTCTCTTGTTTGAGTAGCCTGCGATCGGTCTCAGCGATTGTTTTTATCACGATATCCTTTCCATTGTTGTGTTAAAGGCGCAAAGTGCTATATCACGCTTTTGTGATGCGTAAATTGACCAGGATGCAATGCGCGTCTCGTGGTTCATACTTGTCTCGCCGATGACTCTCCATGTGACGTGGTATTTTCAAGCATAGCAAACCTTTCTGCTTCAAATAGTGAGAGGAATCACGTACTTCTAGTCACAAAGTCAGCAAGACCATCATCATCATCATCTCGTAACATCTGTACCGCAACATCTCATCGAATGTCACGGAATCTAAGATCTCGTGGGCGTGGTCGAGGGAAAGAACCCATCACAGATGACCCAATGGATCTTGATTACTCGCCAGACGATGTGGAGATGCAGGACCCGCCGCCAGAGGCTTTGTCGCGCCTCAGACCTCGAAAGCCTCCATCTTCGCAAGCTGTGACTACGGAAGAGTCGCCATTCTGGACAGACCCTTCACACAGAACGCCCTTGCCCGAAAGCTCGCCCCCTCCAGCGCCTCCAAGATTGAAGCAACCCATGACATTAAAATTTCGGAATGATCATGTTGGCCAGCCTCCCGGTTTTGTTCGTGGAACAGCTGCTCTTGTGCGCGAGACTGGCGAGGAACGCTGGAAAAATGGTGTACTAAGCGGCAGCGCACTGATCCGGATGCTGGAAGATCTATCGCGCAGCACCAAACGCGAACACTGGCAGGTCTGTGCCTTGCTAGATGGCTTCGCCGCAAAGTTTGGTCGCTTCCACACCCCGGATGGTCTCATAGTGGCGGATGCATATGAGACGTACATGCTCATGCTCGCACGTAAAGTTTGGGTTGATCACACAGGCGAATTTGCTGGGGGAGATGTTCTCTGGGTACCCGGACTAGAACCTAGAGCCATCACCGATCCGGACTGGGAAGCCAGCGCAAGGCAAAATTTACCGGAGTTACCTATCAAACATTACCAGCCGCCTTGGTTGGCGGCGGAGAATCAGTACATGCACCGCGTTATGCAACGGCCACAAAAGGGGGAGATTGTCTACAAGGGCTGGGTTGATGACATGAAATGGGAAAGAGATATCCGAGAGGGTGAGAAAATTGATCAAGGCACGCCCAGCGACGACCCTGTTGTTTCCACATCAAATACAGAATGAAGGGTAGCAGGCGTCAATACTTCCAGGGGTCAGTAGCAGGCCGTTCCGTTTTGGCCAAGGCAGCAATCAGTTGAAGGTACACCAATAACGAGAATGATTTAGGTAGTCGTAGAAATGTGACTTTACAACACGTAGTCAACGGTGAATGTGAACAGCTACATCGATCAATACCTGGGTGGTCGCGCGGAAGAGACACGCGATCATGACGTCATCATTCTGGAGTTGCACTAGGCTTCTTAGGGATGAACATCAACGAAATGCTCTACACTTCTGCACAGCAGCTCAGTCCACTCCGCCTTGCACAGGTGTTGTAGCTACCGCAAGACTGGTGAGGAGATGAGAAGAAAAGTCATGCGCTCTCGCTCACAGATCTAGCGCAAGGTGTCCAGCGTGGGCACACAGAAATCTTGGGAAGGGCCGCCGAGATCCCGACCGGAAAACGAGCATCGACTCAACGCGAAAGTCAAATACTGCACCTGCAGTAGGAGTATCATCGGCTGCATGACTTCAGTCCATCGATTAGGCGAAGACAGCCGTCTTCGCTGGCCTGTATGCGACCTCCAGTCAGCTGCATCTGCACCTGCACCTGCGAGCTCACCGTTCTTCCAGACCCCCCGAACCATCACCCCTCCCCATCCTCTTTGTTCTACAACGACGCATTGTGATCACCGCTGCAGCGTAAAACTATCAACTTGCTAATTCCTTCATCTCCCCCCTTATGCATCATCTGCTATTTTCAAACATTTGTTGATCGTTCCGGCCCGCGTGCATCTGACGTGCGTTTGCACAGCCTCAATTCCGGGTTGGCGGGCATAGTAAACCACGACTCTTGGTAGCGGCGATAGCGACCGTGCCTCTGTTCCGCGTAACGTTGCGCTTAGGCTTGCACATGCTCATGCAGCGGAATGGTCGTTCGGTGCAGAAGCGGGAGTGTTACCTAAAAAGGGAATGGCGAGAGAGTCGTGGTGATAGTGTGGTGCTTTGCCTACAGCAAGGTATGGTGTGTAGCATTGCCACTTGGACACTCACTGGCTATACTGTACTTTTCGGTGATTAGAACCTCATTGATACATTATGCAGTCGAAAGTGCTGGGTCGAGATCTTGGCCCGCTGGGTATGCTACAGCATACAACGTGCGCATGATAAGCTTTTCCGCCCCCAAACTCCCCGCATCTACTTTGCTCTCCTTCGAGACTTACGTGCATTTTAGTGGGTCCTTAGGTACTTCCGTGTTACCATTAACGTGGTTAGTGATGTGTAGACTGGTCAGTTGACTACGCGCAGTTGTAGGAGTGTATCATACATGATTTCCAAGCCTTCGTTTTCTCACAGCATGCGGAACCTAGTAATGTGACGGTACCTAGATAAGCCCCAAAAACGTGGCATGGAAAGGGTGTGACTCAGAACTTCAATGATTGGCCAGCCTTCAAAAGTAACTATCACCGACCATGTTCATGCCGCTCTCTTGTCATGCCGGATAATGACCGGTCAGGTACATCACGCAGTCAATTTTTCGATCCGCACGAGGCTGTCCGCAAGGCATATTTCCATGTCTTTGTCACATCTCATATAGCTGTCCGGATCTCTACTGGACAATGTCCAATTTGCTTACAGCGAAGTGACAACGTCAAACATGTTAGGCGTGAAGGGATGTACTCTGGGTGAATACTCAGTTCAATTTAGGTGGGCTAGCGCGACACCCGCCCGGAGACACCTGTCCAACAGTATTGACCATGTTCCCTATCGTGACTATCAGCTACACCAGTATTCACTTTGGAAATTGTATCCATGCAAATTACTCTTTCGTACGCATGATGTCAATCAATGTAGGGGCCGAATTCCCTTTCCGGTAAATATCTGACCCTTACAAGTTCTATTGGCGTGACACCAATGTAGGCAATACATATAATCGAACGATAGACCGGCCCGGGACAGGCGATCGCGGGGGCGGTGCCGCAACGCTGCATCATCCCCATGACTGCAGCAGTCATGCGTATATGGTTCACTTCGATATCAATATGTGTCGAGAGAGACGGATAGACGTATTAGAATTAGGTATTATGAACGATGGACCGGGGCTAAACGCAGCCTGGATATCGTTTGGCCCATCGAAAAGCCGGCGACGTGGAGTAGCGAGTCCAGATTTGGGTCTGAAGCCTATCTCCTCAGCCTTCGCGAAGGCTGACGAGATTAACATTCGCATGCGGAAGGAACGTGAGTTTTGATGTTATGCAGTATATTTGGTTTTGATTTGTTGGGATGACCTGTTTCTCGATGATCGTATTCATCTTCGCGTACCCCTCCACCTCGCTTCTAGTTCGCGAGCCCTTGCTGACGCTTCTTGTCTCTTTTTCGCTGCCATTTCCGCCTGGCTTTGTTGATAGTCTGGAAGTTCATCATCGGATCCTTGAGGGTCATTCAGCCCCAGCAGGTTCAGTTCCGCTGTAACGGCGTCCAAGTGTG